TTTTATCTTGTCAAACATCCTTAATGACAGTGCTACGTCCATTCCTCGATCAGTTGATATGAAATTTTTACCGAATGTCCACCTAAGTAGGCCGTTTTTACCACTGTGCGTCCTAGCGGAAACCTGTGTGAACGCGATTTTGTACTGACCGACGCGTAGCAACACGTGATATTTGTGTCTTTTTCGAAGTATGAGAAAAGAAACAAATCCCGCGCGATGTTCGTTTTGGGAAGTCGCGTCCACTACATTGTAAACAGACGAGCGGTAGCATAAGCTGAAATCATCAAATTTTAAATCCGTGCAATGGCCATGACGAATAAAACACATATTTAATATACACTTATTAATGATACCACCTGTAAATCATTGACGTGCCAGCAAAATTTTCATACGTGCTATAGCTTCGCCATCCCTGGAATAGGGTCAAGACGATTACATCATTGACGAGGGAGCGGTAGCCTCTTTTTTTTAAATATTAGATTTGAGATTGTTGATTCACTATTGATAATATAGTAGAACGTTGGCAACAGCCTTATCGAGATAAACACTTTCATAAATGAGTAATAGATAACCAACGTTTTATGCGTTACTTGTTGAATTCCAAATTTTCAAAATAATTTATAACATGAAATATTACATAGTGGGAAAATAAAAATATATGAGTATTTCATCTTCGCTATTATTACAATTATATATTATCTGGAATGTTAATTGATGATATCAGTTTTGATTTTTATCGAAACCCTTCTTTGTTTTTGCTACTCCTTATAAATGCAAGAAGTTCTGAATTTTATTATTCTAATAAAAGTATACAATATTTGCCAAACATTAACACCGTTTACATTTTAAAAACTGTATCCGTGATGTGGAATCAATTTAATTATAAAGTTTACCACTGAAATGATTCACAAATAGTGAACGTAAACACACGTTTAAAACACGATTCAGATAAAATATCAATAACAGAAAGAAAAGAGTTGTGGCTGTGATTCACGTGAAGTCAAATATTATTGTACGTATACAAATAAAATGGAAAATCGCTTGTTTACATACACGACATATCTATAAAGTTGAAAAACTCACAATTACTGGAATTAAATATAATCAAGAAAAGCTATTAGAATTTTTAAATAAAATAAATGATCAAACTAATAATCATTTTTGAAGGAGTAAAATTAGAAACAAATCTTAAATTGTCCTAGATGTACCTCAGAAACAAATATTGCAAAAACGAAATGTTGGTATGCCAAAATAAATTAAATATTGCATTAATCCCTTGAGCTATAGTGGTAATTATACTTGCTGATCTTTTAGCTCCCACTTTTTAATTATTTTAACGAATATTTTAATGTAAGTATTATTGTTTTTCTTGGAGACATTTTAAAAATTGTATCCCATCATAAGATTATTATTATCTTTAAAATATTAATATTATCAAATTATTTTGGTTTATTATTCTTGGTATCTTATTCAATTTTATTTGTCTGCAGACTTTGTTTATTTTCATTAAAACTTAGCTACAACATTGATAAAATAATATACGTATTACACGCGCCTCGAGTGTTCTCGAGAATTATGGCATTTATCAGTATCGTTCGTTTGAGTACATGATAAGTATTTCTTTAAGAGAAACGTTTGTACAATATGTTCTCGAGAACCATATTTATAAAATAGCTTATGTATGTTTCTTTATATTATTTATAAGGATACTGAAAGTAGTGGGGCTTTATTTTAAAATATGTTGTTTATTTTAATTTGCTTTCAGTTTATTCGCTAAAATTTCGAAAAACTGTATTTTGTTAGACACGAATAATACATAAATTAAAATAAAATAACTATTCCAAGTGTTTTTGATATTCCTTTCTTCTTTAGTTTATTTTCATTATCAACAAATATTTCAAAAATGTATATCCAAACAAATTGTTAACAATTACATTAACTGATCCAATTAAAATAAAATTATACGTTCAATAATGGAACACATGGGTTTATCTAAATTTTGTGGACGACGAAACAAATGTAACAAATTCTCCTGTATCCAATTAATTAAATGCCCAAATTAATGTACCATTCGTCCAAGTATATTTTACAGTACACTTCCAGGGCCTTCACATATTATTATAATAATTCTACATTAGAAAATTCTGCTAGAAGTTTATTCTGCGACATAATTTAAACAACACTTGCCAATTTTTATGAAATACGATTCAGCTTCCTTTCTTCATAAAGATGCAATTTTTTTAGAAAATATTTAGGAATACAATACTTCTTTTTAAGTAACGAATAAAATTGTATTCACCCCTTATAAATAGAAATTGCCAATGTATTCAGAAAATAATAATTAATTTAGTGTGTCTTTTCGCACTATAATGTACGAATTCGCATTCTCGTTACGTCTTCCACCTCCAAATACAACTCTTAATAGCCACTTATTATCTCTTTTACTGCTGGGCCATCGCTCGCTTCGCAGTGTCGCTCTTGCTTCTTCCACTGTTTACTAAATGAACGGGGAAAACATTTCTCTAATTTATTGTTTTCATCTTTTTACTTCTCTTTCTTCTATTTTTTCCTTCTATATTAATTGATATAAATTTAATAAACGTAAACAAATATTTTACGAATATATCATGTAGATTATATAAATGTATTTATTTATTAGTTAAACCATTAACTTTGATCACCTTAATTGTCTTCTTTATTTTTAGATATACGACAAAACCTTACTTGAACATATTGCACAGTACCGAGAGGAGCGTAACATATCAATAATTATTTTCTTATGGTCGATGCGTTTTTCAAGACTACAAGGCCTCTTATATTCTTTTCATTTAAATCGAAATTGTTTTTTCTAATTAAAATACGCGCTCCTATATATTAGGTTGGGGAAAAAGTAATCTATTATTTTTACCTTTATTTCAAGACTTTATTTAGCATGGTTTGGATTGTCCGATTTGGGTCTCGTATGCGCCGTTTTGTTCGATAATTTATTGTCATTTTAAAGGTAACCTTATAATGCCTTTCATAGAAGCCCTAGTCCCTATTGACGAAAAACTCGATTAAGCGATTTTCCCAATCTTCTCTTGATGCCGATTTCTTATCACTAAGGAAGTTTTGTTAGGATGAAAAAAGATGATAATCGCTTGGTGCCCGGTTCGGACTATAAGGTGGCTGCATTAGGGGGCCGCAGGAGCCAGAGCCAAATTCCGAGTTGACTTTAGCGACAATTGCGGAAAAAGTAAGAAACTCCGGGACAAGGACAGAGAGGGCGATACAACAATTGCAAGAGAGACGAGGACAGGGCAATTAGGCTACCATGAATTTTTTTTCAGGATATTAAAGCAAAGAAGCAATATTTTCTAATAATTCTGGTTTTAATATATTCGTTACACTTTGGCGGATGCGACTCCAAGGCCTGATTTTCCAATTTGGGCCTTAAAACTTTATAAACAATAAAATGAAGATAGCAAACGTTCTTTTAGTTACACCGAGTATGCCGGTGGAGTGCCTGCGGTAGCGTACGAGAGCGGCCATCTAGCGCATAGCCTTCGGTACCACGGCCGCTCCACCGGCATACGCACGCTCTGATTGGTCAGAGTTTTCTGGTAATATCTCCTTAACGAAGCCTCGGACAACATTTTTGCTAAGGTAAAAGTTGTTTAAAAGTTGTTCACCTCTCGAACCACTCCTTTCAGGGTGTTACAACATTTTTGGGACACCCTGTATAGTCTACCCATAAAAACTTCAAAAAAGTAAAAAAATTACACCAAGTACATGAAAAAGTGAAGGACTTAAAGAGTAATTATAGAAAAATAGAAGATCCCCCTAAAAAAATCAAGAAAGTAGAAAAAGATGTGAAATCGAAATAAGCAGCCAGTACATGAAGGTTCTTTCCAGTAAAGTGCAAGGTGACACTGTGTAACATAATATCAAATTTGGTCCTTTCCAACTATGCGCAGCTAAAATGCTGTGTTCAACAGTGCAGACGTTCAGACCCTAATGACAACTCATGTAAAGTGACTGCTCCGCACTTTGGCGATGAAATGAAGAAGTGTATCAACCACAAACTGAGACTGTTTAGACTTTAGACACTTGCCTAGATGTCTGTGCCCTGGAAGTCAAATGCTTGGCGTGGCCAGGCAAAGCATTCTCAGATCATCAATACCCATACTTTCTCTCTCGCAACTTTCACATAATTTGTCAATTTAAAACTTTGACAATATGAGTACATTTGCATTTTATTGTGTTTTAAAATATTTCTAAGGACACTCATTGACGCAGATACCTCTTGTCTCACAGGCATTCAGATAATTTGTCAGTTTAAAACGCTGACAATATGAGTACATTTTCATTATTTTACATTTTAAAATAATGCTTATTCAACAAAACCTTGACCTTGCCTGGCCACGCCAAGCATTTGACTTCCAGGCCACGGACATCTAAGCGAACTTTTCATTGTGTTATACAGTATCGCCTTTGCACTTTGCTGGAAAACACCTTCATGTACTGGCAGCTCATTTCAATTTCACTCCTTTTTTTTCTTTCTTGAATTTTTTTAGGGGGATCTTCTATTATTCTATGATTACTCTTTAAGTCCTCCACTTTTTCATGTACTTGGCGTAATTTTTTTACTTTTTTGAAGTTTATTGAATATCATTTATTATAAATGAAATAGAAATTATTTCATACTTTTTAGTGCAATTTTAGTATTTTTTCGAAGTAGGTTATATTTTTTTTCCAAAAATTATTTTATTGTAGTTTCTTATCGTTACAAATTATCATCTTTCCTTACTTGACTATTTTATCTCTACTCATTTATTGTTTACATAGTTTACCTTATATCTATTATCTAATCATAATAATAAACTTTTTAATATTAATTCTGTTTTTGTATAGAGTTTATTAATCACTTTCACTTTTCTTATTAACTTCTACATGTAATCTTAATCCTAATCGTTGTTTGCTATTTGTTACTTATTAAGAATAAACTATACAACATAAACCTCAGGTTTAAATCAGCTGAAAGGAGGAAAAAGGATCTCACAATGGGTGGGTGAACTTTTTTGTTTTACACTCCCTTCCTTTTCACTTTTTCTTTTCTTTCTTTTTTTCGGTATACTTAGACTTAACTTAGACTTATAATTAGCTTAAGTTAAACTCCGACTCTTAGTTTCGAAGACGTTCATAATCTGTTTTTCTATCTACACTAAAGGTAATCCTCAACTGTCTTGATTTATATTTTTATCTTAATATGTATATTCCTTATTTCATTTTCCATTTTAATATACAGGGTGTTTCAAAAATGTTGTAACACCTTGAAAGGCGTGGTTCGGGAGGTGATTTGAAACAACTTTTTCCTTAACAAAAATGTTGTCTAAGGCTTCGTTGAGGAGATATAAATGAAAAACACTGACCAATCAGAGCGCGCGTATAGCGTTGGACCGCCGCGATAGCGAAGGCTAAGCGCTAAGCGGCCGCTCTCGTACGCTACCGCGGGCGGTCCCTCGGCGTACTCGCACTCTGATTGGTCGGGGGTTTCTGTTAATATCTCCTTAACGAAGCCTCGGACAACATTTTCGCTAAGGAAAAAGTTGTTTCAAATCACCTCCCGAACCACCCCTTTTAAGGTGTTACAACATTTTTGGGACTCTCTGTAATAGTATCATTTTAAATTAATGTTGATCAATTATAATAACCAGTCCAACACCCACTAAGAAGAGAAGCTTGCGAACTAATACACTTTGATTTTCATGAAACTTTGCATAAACATTTATTTGGTTATAATATTTTATTTGGTTACAACAACGTAAGTTTACGTTAAACAGAAGTCTCGCAAGCAAGCAAGCACCGCCCTAGATCTACGCAGGACTAAACTGGTCAAATGTAAACCGGGTCCACGCTACCGCCTACCGGTGCACAACGAAAGCGCGAAATTCAAACGCAACTCTACAATATTTATTAGATCTATCTAAGATGACAGGTATAATTCGTTCGTGTCCGTTTTTCACTTTCAGGAACAAACTACCCCTTCTTTCCGACCCGCCCCGTTTACTTATGCGCTTTTAACTCGAAAATGGTAAGCAACATCGAAAAAATGTTAAAATAAATATTGCACCGTTCTTAGAGGCATATAAACTAGAGATCACGGTTTTGAACAGGTATTAAAATACACGGGTACACGGAACACGTGTAGCGTGTATTAAAGAATTAAGAACACGGGTACCCGAGTATCGAAACACGCTGGCGAGCGGATATCTTAACCCTTTAACCTATAAGTACGTGCGAGACTTGTAGTCTTGTATTTGGGCCATTGTAAATACTACGGGCTTGCCCCGTAGTACATCGGTCGCGCCAATCGTAAACATTACGGGCATGGCCCGTAGTACAACGGTCACGATTTGTAATGTGATCACAATCAGTTACATATTATTCTTGGTCGCTAATTTTTTATTACTGATTTTTATATAAATTCTAATTATGTTTTTGATTTATGTTATATTTTATTCATAGATAATAAACCTTTTGTAGTATTATATCTACCACAATCATTATTATACATCAGGTTGTAATTACTTATCAAATATTTCAAAAAATTAAACCAATTGTATATTATACATACAGTAGTGCGCGATTGGTACAACTTAAGTCCGGTATGCCGTACCGTGGAATAGCTCGAAGGCTGAGCGATCTTGTTTACGTTTTGGCCCCAGGTTGTTGGAACGTAAATTGTAGGTTAAGGGGTTAATACACGGGTACAGTATCCCATTATTTTTATATACAAACTTTTATGTAAAAAACGCTATTATTCTAAAATAATGATCCTTATTAATTTTGAAAGAATTAATAAGTAATAAAACAAATAAATAAAAAAAAATATAAACATAAGAATAAATATCACAGAATAAATTTTTTAGTGTAATTTGTAAAACTTCATTTATTAGTTAAAATAAATGTTCAAGTCACGGATAACAATAGACAATACATTGTTTCATAATAAAATTTAATCAATTAAATCACTGTTTTGATATAAGAAAACTAAAGTGTCGACATTTTTTGGTGACAAACGAGTTCTTTTTGTATTAATAATATTTCCAGCTGTTGAGAAACATTGCTCCGAAGTATCTGATGTTGCCGGTACTGCCAAATACTTAATTGCGAGTTCCGCAATAGTGGAATATTTGGTTGCCCTAGTCTTCCACCACTCAAAAGGACACAAATCAAATCGTAATTGCGGTTCGACTAAATACATTTGAAACTCTAAATTTAAATCGGAACTTTCATCGATTTCGTCGTTATACAAAAATTGTAGAGCTGTTTTTTCGGCCGATTGTTGGTGGTTTCTGCTTAATGGTTCTTGAGGTACAGCTTTAAGTAATGCTTTCACTTCAATACGAATTTTGTCCCGTACATGAAGAGGTTCATGTTCGAGATCTTTATATCTGGGGTCGAAGAAACAACAAATATGATGTAAATTTACAGATATAGTATCGTTCATATTAAATTCTAGTTTAAAACGTCGTGAAATTTCAGAAATTATGGTTTGTTTGAACATATAAATAATTTGATCATCATTGTCATGTATCTTCAGATGCTTTTCTAATAATTTATTTAATAATGGTCTCACCATTGACAATGGTGAATATCTTTGTCCACAAAACAAGGTGGTTGTAATTTGTAGTGGTTTCAAAATTTGTGTTAAAGATTCTATTTTTCCCCTTTTGGGATTCTGTTAATTCTAAATTTCGAGCTGTTTTTGTACTTGTTACTGCCTACTTGCGATAACGTTTGTTATACAACATCTATTTAGATACAATCGTTCAAGCATGAGAAACGTGGAATTCCATCCAGTGGAATAACATTGTAATTTCGTCCTTTTTGTCATCCCAAGCTGTTGTTGTTTCAATTCCAAAGCCTTCTTTGCTATGTTTGAATGTTTGAAATGTCCTACCACCTTACTGCACTGACGAATTAAATGTTCAAAACTCTCTTCTGTTAGTGCTTTATTAATTGATAGCTGGAGACTAAGAGCTGCACATGTCACATTTTGAATTCTTAGGCTTAGTGAGGAGATCGCATTTACCATATTACGAGCATTATCGGTTACTATAGCGAGTACTTTGTTGTCTATTTCCCAATCGGTCAGTGTAGTTTCTAATTCATCGGCTAGATTTTCGGCAGTGTGACGTTCCTCCATTTCATGAGTGGTCAAAGAGTATAATTGTGTAGACCATTGAGTGTCCAGAAAATGTATGGTTACCGTAATGTATGTGTCCTGTGTCAAGGAAGACCAGCAGTCTGTAGTGCATGTAATACTTTTAGCAGCTATCAGTTTTTCTTTAATTTTTCCTTTAACAGTGGTTTTTAAAACATTTATTCTTTTTTTAATTGCTTCTTTTTGATAAATTTTACATTTCGGTTCAATAATGGGCATGAACTTTTTAAAACCCTTGCTCGAACAAAAGGAAAATGGTAATTGGTTCATAACTATTAATTTAGCAAGTGCTTCGTTTATTTCTTCGTTTCTAGTACGGTCGCATAAACGACTACTCGCAGCTGCAGTATCAGAATAACGAAATTGTGATTGACGTCTACGTTTTTTTGAACGTACAGTTTCGAGATGTATATTTTCATTTTCTTCCGTTTATGAATTTTCGTTACTTTCATCTACATTTACACTCTCGTTACTTTCTACGCTATGAGATGTACTACAAGTACTAGGTGTCGATTGAAATGAATTTTCTACTCGATAATTAGGGGGTTTTAGATTATGAATTATTTGTAAATGTCTATTTAGGGAACCTGCTGATCCACCAACCCAAGAAAATTCGATATTATCTATTCGATATTACATATGGCTTTGTCACTAACACGCGTTGCGTATTTCCACGCCCAACTTTCACGTTTATACATTTGGAAATGAAAATCAAACCAGCTTGATTTAATGGCAGCTTGAACATTAACAAACCAACTAATTAGAAAATAAAAGAATGGCCTGTTACCATCGGTAACGCGTAAACAGGACAAGCAACACGAAGTTGAATTACTTAAAGCTGTACTTGAAGCTGTAGATAATAACGAATTTTCTTGCGCTTGTAAATCAACAGGTTCCCTAAATAGACATCTACAAATAATTCATAATCTATAATCCCCTAATTATTGTACCTAAATAGATGTTGTATAACAAACGTTATCGCAGATAGAACAGTAACAAGTACAAAAACAGCCCGAAATTTAGAATTAACAGAATTCCAATGGGGAAAAATAGAATCTTTAATACGAATTTTGAAACCACTACAAATTACAACCACCTTGTTTCATGGACAAAGACATTCACCATTGTCAATGGTGAGACCATTATTAAATAAATTAACCTCTTCATGTACGGGACAAAATTCGTATTGAAGTGAAAGCATTACTTAAAGCTGTACCTCAAGAACCATTAAGCAGAAACCACCAACAATCGGCCGAAAAAACAGCTCTACAATTTTTGTATAACGACGAAATCGATGAAAGTTCCGATTTAAATTTAGAGTTTCAAATGTATTTAGTCGAACCGCAATTACGATTTGATTTGTGTCCTTTTGAGTGGTGGAAGACTAGGGCAACCAAATATTCCACTATTGCGGAACTCGCAATTAAGTATTTGGCAGTACCGGCAACATCAGATACTTCGGAGCAATGTTTCTCAACAGCTGGAAATATTATTAATACAAAAAGAACTCGTTTGTCACCAAAAAATGTCGACACTTTAGTTTTCTTATATCAAAACAGTGATTTAATTGATTAAATTTTATTATGAAACAATGTATTGTCTATTGTTATCCGTGACTTGAACATTTATTTTAACTAATAAATAAAGTTTTACAAATTACACTAAAAAATTTATTCTGTGATATTTATTCTTATGTTTATATTTTTTTTTATTTATTTGTTTTATTACTTATTAATTCTTTCAAAATTAATAAGGATCATTATTTTAGAATAATAGCGTTTTTTACATAAAAGTTTGTATATAAAAATAATGGGATACTGTACCCGTGTATTTCGAT